CAAAACTGTGACAGTCTAGACATGTGCAGATAAGACGCATGTCTTAACAGATAAAATGGTTCTAAATTTGGTCGACTAAAGAAGAAGATAAAGCGACATCGAATGGCCATGTTTAATCTTCTTCATCCGCCTCAGTCTCAGCAATGTTGAAGTATCGTAATTCGTAAACATTCCTGTCCTTGTTGGCAGCAATCACCCTAAGCCAATCCCTGACGTTATTTTTCTTCAAGTACTTTTTGACAAGGTACTTGAGATACCTGAAAAATATAAGTAAAGAGTGTAAGCAAAGCAATTATCTACTACTCTCAAGAGCCTGGAATATACTACTGTCGACAAATTCTTTTGTTTTTGGACGCGGGAGGTGGAAGAATAGAAGACAAAGCAGTAATTAACATCACAAGAACTTCCTTTATAAATCGGGTTACATACATATCCTGCTCCAAATTAGATCAATATATATGTCACAGATTGACCTCTCTTTAGACTATCACTTTCTTTAATAAGTAGTCTTTGTACTATCACTTGAACCAAAGATAGGTAAGTGATGCTAACGAAACAAGTTATGCTTAGAAACATAACAGAAAGGGAACAAGTTATGCTTGAAAGCATCACTATTGATTATACTAAGCCGCACAAAATGTATTCACAAAAATGAGGAACTCCTTGAGAACCCAACAACAATATTTGAAATTATACTGACACACCTTGAAGGATGTTTTTATTAGTAAGAGTATATACAATGATTATAAATATCAATTACCTATCTTATTCAAGTTAAAAACAATTACCAATACACACTAATTCTACCAAATCTTTCTCCACAGGTATTATTTTGAATATGATAATATATGCGTAAAAATTGAAATTAACCAAATTGCAGTTGACGCAAAGTAAACAAGGATGAAAAAAGCAAAGCCTGCAAGATGGAGAAGTGAAAGGCTAGGTTGAAGTCTAATTGGTCTCACCAACAATTGCTAAGAATCCACTTCACTGATAAATGAAGTGCTCAATAATCTAGCACGAGCTCATTGACGATCCGTTCCACAACTTTAGGAAGTGCTACAAGGATTATTCAAACATAATAACATTACGCACATATCCTGTTCAATTTACAAATGATTACAAGATATTACGCCATCATTTTCGTTATTTTGTTATTTTTTATTTCTCGATGTAAATAGGATAGTTCATCAGATAAACAAACAGTAGAATGACATAAACCATCAGCCCTTCACGGCTTGTTTGGATGGTTGTTATGTATCGTTTCATAATGTATCGTATAGTATTGTATTGTACTGTATCGTTTTGATGTATACAATGTTTGGATTGATTGTATTGTTTGTCGTCGTTTCATAATGTCATGCACCAACAATATGAACAATAAACTTGCAATATTATAAAGAAAAAGTAAGGTACGAGGTAATATTATTATATAAAAAGATATGGTAAAATATAAATTATAATTATTTAATAATAAAAAAGGGCAAGATGAGAGAAAAGATAAGGAAACGGCGTGAACACACCAAATTCGTCATTCCATAAAGCGGCATTTTTTAAATTTAAGTAACAATGAAAACAAACATTGTATTTAAAGTAACAATAGGATACAATACAACATGTAACAACCATCCAAACAAGTTGTCAATCCAAGGAACATAACTAAAATAAACAGCATTTATTTTAAAACACATTAGAAACTGACTCAAAGCTCAATATATGAATGACTGCACTATTCCACATAAGAACTCATTGCAAAGAGTAGTTGAACCCAATTGAAAATGAAACAATTTTTTTTTCCAAATAAACCCAATTAAAAATGAGGCAGAAAAAGGTAAAATCAGAAAAAATGGGGGTCGTGATATAGAAGTAGTACCTCTTGGAAAAAGCAGAATTAGAAGTGACGGTGATCTTGTTCTTGTCACGGGTAACGGTAACGGAATCCCCAAGTGCACCAGCTTTGCCACCAACCTTAATTCTCTCCTGAAGGAACTTGTCAAGAGAAGCAATCTCCATAATCTTGTCATCCACTGGCTTCGAACAGTCAATTACGAACGTTGCCCCCTTCTTCTTCCCGCCTTTCGCTGCTGCTACTGCTGCTCGGCTCATCTTTACACTCTGTCTCCTTCTCTTCCGCTGTCATTCAAATAGTGAAACAACAATCATCAGATATTCAACAAAAAAAGAGTACACTTTTTACGTATTGGGTCTATTGACGGAGAAAGAAGCAGGAGAAACAGAGAAAAGGATCGAGCATACGTACAGGACTAAACTCAACTGCCTACTGCGAGTGTGTGGAAGTGCGGCGATGTTGTTTAATTAGGGTTTTCCAATCTTCCTCTGCGGACCGTCGCCCCTAACCAAAACCTCTTTTACCGGTATTAATCCAATAAAATATTAGTCAATCATTTTTATTATGTTATCTAGGGTGTTCATAAAAACCCAAAATCCAACCAAATCCACTAAAAAAATCAATACCTTTTAGGTTTAATTTGGTTTTGGTTTTGAATTTTAAAAACTGATCAAATTTGATTTAGTTTTGGTTTTAATCAAAAAATAACCGAAAAAATTGAATCAAACCGACTATAAATATAACTATTCAAATTTATTATTATTATTATTATTATTATTATATATATATATATATATATATATATATATATATATNTCATTTGTATTTTTAGTCTAGTTATAATCAAATTCTTTGCCTTTACATTGTAGTTTGATTGGTAGTTTTCTTTTACTAAGTACAAGAATTTATTTCAAGTTAAAAATAATTAATTTTTAATTGAGTTCTTAAATTATTCATCACTATTTGATTCAATTTTCATTGATATATCTTGGTAAATGATAGATTTTCTCAAAAAGCAATTGGTTTGATAGTGTTACGTTGAAAATTTAGTCGCTAGAATATGCGTTTGGTAGTGTATGTCTCATATTTAAGAAAAAATTCGATAAATAACCGAAAAAAATAAAAAACCGACAAAATTCGAATCGATAAAAAACTGACTTAGTTGGTTTGGTTTGGTTCCAATATTTAAAAAATTGATTTACTTGGTTTAGTTTCTTTTTAGGGAAAAACCGACTCAAACCGAACCATGAACACCCCTAAATTGTTATCAATTAAATACTTGTAATACGATTTACTTATGGAGTACTAGTTATTTTATAAATAATTAGATCGTGTAAATATCAGTGTAAGAAACATAAACTTGTATAAATAAGAGCGAACCAAGAATACGTGTAAATAGTTTATTTTCATGTGTACAAGTTTCTCATTATATATGTGTATTAGTGAAAAATAGACTCACAATATGGATCTATTAAATGGCGACACGTTTCAGCATAGTTTGGAGAAAAGTTAAGAATGACATGTAAAACACCATCGGGATCCAACATATTCGTACCGTACCTGTTAGTCTCCGAACTGATCATCATAGAATAGCCCGGATCAGGTACATGAGAATAGCTCATAGTTACAAATGAGAAAGGAATCAATTAATCCCGCATTATATGGAATTTACCATCATTACGCCATCAGTTACAAATCAGTTATGTAACGTACAATAAATGTAATAAATGGTTGTAACGAGTAGAACAAGGCAATTAATTATGAAATTGACTCAACAGGCACGCGATTGACTCAACAGACACGGGATTGACTAACAGGTACGTGATTGATTCATCAGTTACAGAATTAACTCATCACTTACGGATATAACTCATGAGTTACGGAATTCCAGCATTTACACAACTATTACGAGTCTTCCAAAAGTAACGAATAGATTTAGTAAATGCTCATAATGGACCCATAATTCAAGGAGAATGGTTACTTAGATTTAGCCCTATAAATAGATACATTTTACCACTATTGTAATCATCTGATTTTGTTCTCTACAATTCTGTAAATTGTAATTCATAGCATCTTGCTCCCAAATTAGCCATAGTTCGGCTCTTCAAGCTCTGGTCAGCTCATCATCCTATCAAGGATCATCCAATAAGAATTATTTCTTCTATGCTTTATTTTTATTATATTATTTGTCATTGAATTAATTTTTTACTTCTCTATCATGTTGTATTAACAAAAATTTATATCTTTCGGATCGAATCAGTTGCTTATGGCCTGTCATATAAAATTTATTGATCTGACCTTGAAAATTATTTTTTGAGTTAAACAGTTTGGTTCCGCTACCAGGAACCTGAGAAAATTTGCTATTCATCCAAAGATACTAATATTTTTTTGTTAATATTCATTTGTTTTCAGTTTAAACCATTGTCATGGCCGAAATATGCCAATCAACGCATTTGAGGACAACCAAGTTGGAGATGGCTTTACCATGCAAAATGAAAATGAAAGAATAGCCATGATAATGATAGGTAAGCAAAAAAAAAATATATAGAAAATGGAAAATGTACATCGGTATATTGGTACGACAACTATTAGTACCGGAACTGATTATAACAAATCTGTGCCAAACAGTTCCGAAACAGGAGGTTCAAATACATCATGTAATTTTAATTTACAAAATTCAGTTCTAACTTTACAAAAATAGATTAAGGAACATAACGGATAGAACACCTTCAGGACTTCCCATCTATCCTACGAGAATGATATGCATAACCCTTACAGCACCGAGCTTTAAATAGAAGAAGACACGGTAAGTCGAATCAACGCTAATAAGATGTCCAAAAACAAGTTCGAAAACCAAACGGAGGTGATTCCGGATCTCGTTGAAGGAGTTAGAAGAATAGCGTCGGACCTTCCCGGAACTGAAGATTAAAATTTACAATCGGTATAATACAAAGCTCCAAATAGAGGAAGACACGGAGGTTCAATCGTAAGTCAAAAATAGGTTTGGAGATCAAACGAATGTGATTCCTGGGTGATCCGAATCTAAATGCAAAAATCTAAAAATCAAGTCCGAGCAAAGAGATACGGAATTTCCTTCACGGGCTGAAAAAGATCTGGATCTACCCGAACAAGAAAGGAATTACCTGGCTAAATTGCAAATTTCCATAGGAGAAGAATGAAGGTTAGGAAAAATATGGGTAAAACACCCACGGGATTGCTTACAAAGATACTGCACCTGACAATTGGAAAAGAAGAGATAGGCACGGGATGGATAATTAAAGACCACGAGGAAGGAAGGTTCATTAATAGCTATGGACAATTAGACATATATTATCGAAAACAATCATTGAACCGAAAGAATTAGAAGCCACGAAGTCAAATGTTGAAGAACTAGAAACTATCATTGACTTCCCAAATAGGAAGGTTTACATTTATCGAGACTCGACACCGAATTTAAAGGTAAGTTGATTGAATTTTTACATGTTAACGCAAATTGCTTTGCTTGCCCCCTTGCTAACATAATAGGTATTCCACCGGAGTTAATGGCTTGTATGCTCAATATTGATCCCCGCTATAATTCGGTCAAGCAAAAGAAAAAATTAGAGTCAAATAATAAAAGATGAAGTAACCAAACTTCAAAAGGTCGGTTTAGTCCGTAAAGTCAAATTATCCGGACTCGCTAGCTAACATCAACCTATCGTTAATTTTAAAATTTTGAGGATAAAGATCGTTGCTGGTACACCAAATTATCTCGGAGGTCTCAGTAAATGCAATCTTAATTCAAGAAGATAAAGATATACAATCTCTTGTATATTGTAAAATACTCTTAGACACAAAAACTACAAATCTATATTTTGAGAAGTTAGCATTGATAGCAGTTGCCCTAAATCTAAGGCTTTATTTTCTATGTCATCTAATTTTTGTAGTCACTATATTTTTATTACGCAATATTTTACATAAGTACGAACTGTTAGGAAGGCTAGCTAAATGGGTAGTCTAACTTAGTGAATATGATATTATTTATCAAATGCGTACGACTATAAAATCACAAGTTTAATAGATTTCATGATTAATCTTAGCTCGAACATATTACCCGAAGCTAAAAAGGAAGTACATGTTATTTTCGGGATAATTATCGGATCTAGACCTTCTACAAAATTAGGTCCACAAGTATTAAAAGTCCTGAGTTAGGGACTATACGTAATGCACATATCGGGGAAGTAGTTAGACAATTAATTTATTACTAACAACAAAATCGAGTATGAAGCATATGTTACGGGGCTTGAATTAGCTGGGGGAACTCAGAGCAAAAATGTTGATTTAACGATTGATTCTTAACTCATGATCAAATCCAAGAAAATTATGCAGCCCGAGAAAATTGAGCTAGATGTGCTAGTCTCGGTTCTACTGCTGATATCACATATTGCAAAAATAACTCCCGACTCTTATTGAGAAATATCGATTCCGGATCAAACAGTCTCGGGATCGAGTCGTCCCTTATTTGGGAGATCCCTAATCTATCATCAATTAGAATAAAAATGAGGTAAGCTCGACTAATTTAATTTATAATTGGCATAATACATTCATTGATTACTTGCAAAATGAGACTTTATCCAAAGACAAACACGCTCTCGACAACTCTGAGTGCGTCTCATCCCGTAGTGCCTTATTGAAGGAGAATTACATTTGAGAATATTCAAGGGCCCCAAAGCTAAAATGACACATGGACCCAAACAACCAGAATATATGATGCGAAAAATTTATAAAAAAAGCAGTGAAAATTACTCCGGTAATAAGGCTTTAAATTTAGAACTCATCAAAGCCAATATGACTAACTCAAATCAAGATGTGACATGATCCTCGACTATTTTGGAACCTTCGTAGTTCCCCGCCTGAGTAAAAAATATTTAATAAAAAGAGCTCTGCTACCGTCCCTATGTTGGAACTTGACCATTTGAAAGTCCATCAACATTGAAACTAGCTATCCTACCGGGAACTATTAAACTGGGACTATCAAATTATGATTCCAGTATTTAAGTTTTCATACCTCAAAACTCGAACACTGGGAAAATATCTTATACTTAACGATTAATCAATTTGTCCTGACATTATAAGAAGTGATACAAACGGTCGATTGCCTTGGGATATAGAATTTTAATAGTATTCCGACATTATTTACCACCATCTCAACCCAGTTAGTTATATTTCTCATATCAAGCATAATCACTTCAAACAGTGTTGAATCAATTCTTCAAAAATACATATACAACAACCACACAAAAAGGATCGAGAACTCTATGTTAGAGTCAAGAATCCCACGATAAAAAATGAGAGTTTTATATCCAAGTCAAGATAAATATAAGCAATTATGCTATCGAAATAAAGTTCACTTTGAACAAGCACGTGACTTATATTCGGTCCAACAACGACCATTCAAGTTAAATATATAATTTTTTTTTAACGGTTGATTGTATTATGACTCGGATCGACTGTCCCGTATATATTAATAAAAAACTCAAATATTATTTCGGACATGCG